TCAGAGGAATATCATCTATTGCATATATATGAGACTCAGAGCACATGTGGAACAATGATCCCATTTCCAATCACTGCTTTATGAGAAATTTGCAAAAATAAAGATACAAAGATATCACTCAATCATGCAGGTACTGGAAGATCTGGGATAATAATAATAATTAAAAAAAAAAACCTTAGAGGAATGAGGTCTAGCCTTTGGAAAAAGAAATTAACAGCAGATCTTGCCAAGTTACACTAGAACTTTGTAAAAGAACAAAAGGTATGGTTTATAAGGCCATAGCAGCTTGTGTCAAATATAACAACAAAGGGCATGAACTTAAGCGAAGGAAAGGTCATCTTCAAAGAGAATGTTGGAAGAAATGCTTTACACAGAGAATAGTTACGATGGAAAATAAACCACTATGACAACCTTTGCAACAAGTGATATAAACTTTAAAAGGTGACAAGCATTTGAAAGACAGTTATTGTGCAAATAGAGAAAGAGGAAGAGAGAGATGCCTGGCCTTTTCAAAAATAGGCTTTGCATCCATCCGTCTTTAAATCACCAGCATTACATCCCTATCTACTGTCTCAAAAAATCCACTACAAGAGAAAATTGACACCAAACTAAACCGAAGGATCTAACGAGAAGATCCTGACAGTTGAAATGGGTCTTACGGATTCCATCTCCAAACATTATTGCCTGAACTCGCTCATTTCAGTGAAGGAATAAATCTTGTCCCATCTATTTCAGGACTTTATTTCTCTTTTAACGATTCTTCCATTTTAACAAGTTTTGATTCAATAATTTGGGTGTTTTAAACCAAACATATAATCTTAAGTGGCTACCCATCACAAATACACTGAAGTTGCATATTAAAAAACTTAATTTTTATCTTGTGTCATCTGGACATCATCCTGAATCCCACATCTTTAAAAGTCAGAAAAATATTATTTTTACTAATTCTATGAAATATCAAGAACAGTTGAATACTACTTTTTAAGCTCTGACCAACTGCAGAATAGGCAAGGGAAACTGTCATAATGCAGGCAAGCCTCTGAGGAATTCCAAGCTATGTTTGGAATTGTATCCTCAGGAAGGTTCAGAAGGAGTTTGACATCATCTTTGTTACACATGCAAGGGCACACGTATGCAGTTTCAAAAGTAAAAAAAAAACCTCTCACCATAAGAAGTCTCACTGAAACAAATATAATCAAGTCAAGACAGCTCCAGATGCTCAGATCTTCAGTGAGGGGATCAATAAAATAGTTTAAATTACAGGATTCCATTAAAAATTAACTCCACTGTATCCTACCACAATGCAAGACAGAAAACAAACTCTACTAACCATAGCCACCTGCTTACTTAAGAGGGAAACTGCTTCTGGAATTAACATTTGTTATTATCTGTGCTAACAGATTCTGCTATGAGATTGGTCTTGGGTTACCATCATTCAGTAGCGTTGCTAATAAGAACAATTTTTACCATAATCAGTGTATTTTACAAAGCATAAAGAAGTTGAATGGTTCTTAAAATCTTTAATAATTTGTGGTGATTTTCACCATAAAGATGATAATATATTAGTTTACCAGATGTCAGACCATGCAATGGATCATTAACAAAAGGGTATTTTCTGAATACTTCCCAAATAAATACCAGCTGGTTTATTATCAGCAAGCAGACATAGTCACAAGCATCTCTTATTTGATTCACTTAACTGATGTCAAATACATCATGTATTAAAATCTCTAATGTTCATTTATAACTTGTCTCAAAAGCAGTACACTACGTACACTATCCTGCAAAGATACAAAATGATACAATCACTATTTTCAGACCTTAAAAAAAAAGTTTAGTAAAATTTTTAAAATACATTTAAATGGAAAAAAAATTATTACATTACACAACTATTCCAGATGTACCCTAGAGGTGATCTGATTATAAGATAAGAAATAGTCCATTTCTCATCTGTCAAGAGTACTTTGAAGATCAAGACAGTTGAAGAGAATAATTTCAATGGATTAATAACTTTAGGCCACTGCATTTGTACAATCATATCCACACATTCGAAATAGAGACTAAAACCAATATACTTGGCTACGTGGAATTTGCTGTATACTTTAGGCAAGACAATATTGATTGCCTGACAATCAGCTGCTGCTCCTCTTACAGAGAGGCACCTGATCCTTGCACATCTCCAATGTAAGTATAGAACTAACAGTTATCACCATTGCCTTGTTGCAGCTAGTGAAAACATGTGCAAGTAGTACTTATATCACCTTCCAGCCCCTTTCCAAGGGAAGAGGAAGATGGAGGGGGGAGGCCCAAAGCCAACAACAAAAAAAAAAACACATTGGAGCGGAGAGAAAAACCACACCATTCTCAGCATTCAACTATCTCTTTTTACCTCCTTCGGGGAGCAAGCTGGCTCTAACAGACTCAGTCTCTAGTGTCTGCCTCTTTCTCACTGTAATTGTAAAGATGGGATCAAGGAAGACACATCTATTCGTTCCTCTCTGTCACTGAAATGAAAATGTCTCCTGCTATTTCGTTAGCTTTGAGTAACCCTCCGCTGGACAAGACCTCATTTCTCTAAGTAAAGCATAGCTTATGAGGGGAAAACCAGGAGAAAAAAAGATTTATGGAAAAGGAAAAGGGTACAACTTTAAATTTTGTTTCCGTTTTGCAAGTGACCTGTTTAAAAAAAGAAAGAATTCTCGGTCACAGTTAAGGAAGTAGAAATTCCTCAAACAAAGCACAAAATGAAGAAGCAACTTCTCCCCATCACCAAGAAGCAATAGTTACTTCCAAGAAGAGTTGATAATGACAGACCATCCCCAGCTTTATACAAGGGAAAAGGGATAAATATCAACATATGTGATAGCTGCTGGTTATCAGAGTGAATAATTTAGAACTCATTTACTAGGTATGTGTCTGCCAATACATCAATTGCTTGAGTTGCTCATTCCACAGCTAAACTACTGCACAAGAAGCAATTTCAAAACTATTTTTTACATAATGCTTAACAGTTAATCAAAATGTATCCATTGCTTTTCAAATGAACCATTTTTCCTTTCAAATCACACATTTAATAAAGGGTTTATTCTTAAACTGATTGATGATAATTCTTTGTCTTCATAAAAATACAAATGGAAGAGGGAGAAGTTCGATATCCCATTCTCCTGCAGCATGTTCATTTCATGCCACTCAGTGACTCAAAGGGCAAGCAAGTATCTCTAGATATTATCTAGTTCATATTTTCACCCTATGGCAGGACAAACCCAGGTCACTTCTGTATTAGCCATTTTACTCACCCAGGATGATCAAAGAACCTAAGAGCTGCAAGGTAGCCTGACAGAAGGTTTGTCCTAACCTCTTCACATTCATAATGGGAAGATTATTGAGCTTCTGATCAATCTGCATGCTAGCCTTGCTGTATATCTTATCTAACCTGAAACTCTGTTGAAATTTCAGTCTGTTCTGTTTTAGCTGTTCTGTTTAGGCCTAGGGGAAAGAAAAAGAAAGAAAAAAAAAAGGAAAAAAAAAAGAGTATTTCCCCTCTTTGCAATGGTCATTTCTGTTTTTGAGGACATAAGGTTTTTGGCGTTTGTTTTTGGTTTTTTGCTAAACTATAAATTCTTAGGAATTCAGAGCCTGAGAAGTACTCAAGAAATGACAAATCAAGTGATACTCCTCTTTAACTAGTTCAGTTCTGTATTAGCCAGAAAGAAATTTATTCACAGAGTGGGAACATAGCATACTTCCCCCCACCCCCGATAGCTGAGACCATAGATGATTAATTGATGATATACCCAAGGCTGTGATACTTCAATACATTGTACCGCCAGCCACATACTCTATCTCATGCTTTCTTGGATCATTTCCATTGTACTCCACTGCAACTTATCAAAACAAATCCACAGTCCTATCAAAGAGGGGCACCATAACAAGACCCATGCAACCCAAATGTAAGAACCTTCTTTGCTTCCCAAATCAGAAGTATCATGGTGGTTCCTTATAAGAACTGAAGGTAGTTTTATATTAAGATTTTTCTTTTAGCATTAAAACCAGTGAGGTTTTTCCTCCTGCAAAGCTAACAGTTCAGTATTGAAAGGTCTTGATTTTGCTACATAATTTTTTCAGGGAATTACTATTAAGTTACCAGTTCACTAGCATGACCGCTTAAGGTCCCATTATTGCCACAGGCTTCGATATCTGGAGATACTCTGGCTTGACTAAACTTTAATTTTAGAATTCATGTAGGCTGCACAATTCAGCTCCCCATTACATAACATTAGCTTGGTGAAGAATTAGAATATGCAGAAGGCTACAGGCAGGGAAGCAGAAGAGAGCAAGAGAAGGTTTGTATTTGAGTGTACCTCACAACAGATTTCAGCAGAAAGTCAATCTCTCTTCAGAGGTTAGGGTGTACAGCTGGGTACTCTGTTTACCAATGCCAAGCCTCTTGGCTTCATAAAATCTGCTGTTGTGATCGGATTAAAACATTTTTGCAAGAGATACAGAGAAATACGCTCTATCACAGATCGCAAAATAACCCTCAGCCCAGCTCTGTCTACTGGGGGTTGGACTCTCCAGCCTAATCTCTTATTCAAACAAAGAGCCTTATGTACAGCCTGTGTCCTGAGTATCTAAAGCTGCTTTGCATTACTGGATCTGTTGTAATCCTTCTGTTTCTTTCTAACACATTCTGATGCACAAGATTGTGCTCCCGGTTCAAAGATGAGGCATGTAGATTTAGAGATTCACAGAGGTTGCTGTTAACATGATTTACCTGGTTTGGGGTGGTTTTTTCTCCCCTAAGGTGTTTCCAAACACTGTTTAAATGGGTACCAAAATGAATACGTGTTGCATATCCCCCCCGTAACAATACACTAGCGATTTGGATTTTGTTATTCATTTCTTTGTTCATTGCTGTCAGGACCATGTGAAGAAATCACTGATGGGTCTCATGTCTCAGTAAACAGAGCAATATCGTCATATGAGAAATACGCACTTACATTAGGAGGTTGCAGGAGGCCTCTTCTATGTATTAATGAATCTTTATCTGAAAGAAGAAAACACAGCTTAGAGATCTTTAATAGAGAGGGTCACAAAACTGTTCAATGGAGAAATTCATCCATGAGGGCTTGTTGTGGGGGAAGAGGTGTATTCTCCATGGCAATCTTACTGAACTCCTCAGAATAGAACAGTTCAGACTGGGGGGGACTCAATTTCTATTTGATTTTTTTTGCATATATTTACAAAAGCATACATTGCTTTACAGTACATACTTCTGCCACAAAACCATAAAAAAAATTCCAATAATCATTAACTTTTAGAGCATCAATTATCAGCTACCTGTTAAAGTACCAGTTGCCAAAATGTGTATTTAGTAAAAAGTATCGTAATTGGAAATCATTACCATCAATACCATGTATTTTAGGATAACCACTGAACACAGATTTTGCCGTAAAGCAAAACCTTGACAAACCTATCATATTATTCAACATTATGTCTTGTCATTCAGATTTTCTTTTAAACCTCAGCCCAAAGATTACGAATTCTGAGTTTTAACTAGATCTGCTCTTTAAAACAAGTCACAACTCTATCCTTACAGAAAGCACAGCTAGTGCTAATCAATCTTCCAAAAGGGTTACATGAAGTGACATTAACTTCCCACTAATATACGGTAAACCAATGCATTGTCTGAAGAGAACAGAAAAGCAAAGGTATTTCTCATTTTTGTACACTGTTAGGAGCTCCTTGTTAGGACCTGTTGTAACTGCACAAGTATTTTAGCTCCAAAGATAAGAAAAAAATCCATACCATATAGCTCAGTGCAAAGGATGATTAAAGTGATTTTGTAGTGTGCAAAGAAGGGACAATATGACCCTATGCATTTCACTCTGAATTACACTAGTGCATTATAGGAGAATGGAGATTAAAAATTCCTGTTGTGCACAAGATGTATGCACCTGCCTCTTATTATTTGGTGAAGGTCATGAGTAAGGCCAAACCTATGACTGCATTCTAGCTAAGTAATTCAGCACTCCCTTTTCCAAATGTGATTTGATAATGAGTTATTAGGAAATACGAGCCTGGAGTAAGAAATATGACAATGTTTAGGAGACAAGTATATGCAACAATCCACACTGTTACTGTAAATTAGTGACATGAAGATTTCTCTAAGCATAAGTACAAAGCCACCATGAACAGAATTAACCTAATGTGGCATTTTGTCAGTCTACAGAGTGTTTAACAACACTGGAAAGTGCTCTAAGTAGTAGTTTATTGATTCTACTAAATCCCTCTATCCAGGTGCACATTCTGTGGGACAGACATTTCCTCACCAGTAACTTGTCTGTTGTTTTGTTGCCATCAATATGATTTACTGTCATCCAATAAAACACTTTTGGTTTCATAAAAGTAATATAAGCATCTATAAAGAGGAAATATCTTGTTCCAGAAATGTAATTCCAGTGTTTGACTGTTCTTGAATCAGAAGAATGGAGAAATTCATACTTTGTTTTGTATTCTTCCAAAACACTTTTCTCAAATGTAAACAAAAAGTTAACAACAATGTGCACAGCATTAGCTATTATGAAAGGTTAACAATATGGGAAAGAAAGGTTTAAAGAAAGTACAAATTCTGGTTCATAGGGACACAGTATTTGAAAACATGAGGACTCCTTAAAAGTACACTTGACTGCTAATGACCACCCTACGATGTTGTCCTGGTTTCAGCAGGGATAGAGTTAATCTTCTTCCTAGTAGCTGGTACAGGGCTGTGTTTTGGATTTAGAAGGAGAACAATGTTGATAACACACCGATGTTTTAGTTGTTCCTAGGTAAGGCTTACACTAGTCAAGGACTCTTCAGCTCCCCATGCTCTACCGACTACGAAGGCTGGAGGTGCACAAGAAGCTGGGAGGGGGCACAGCCAGGACAGCTGACCCCAACTGGCCAAAGGGACATTCCATCCCATGGGACGTCATGCTCAGTATATAAAGCTGGGGAAGAAGGGGGGGGTCGGGGGGGACACACGCATTCGAAGTGACGGCGTTTGTCTTCCCAAGTCACCATTACATGTGATGGAGCCCTGCTTTCCTGGAGATGGCTGAACACCTGCCTGCCCATGGGAAGCAGTGAATGAATTCCTTGTTTTGCTTTGTTTGCGTGCGCGGCTTTTGCTTTACCTATTACACTGTCTTTATCTCAACCCATGAGTTTTCTCACTTTTACCCTTCCAATTCTCTCCCCCATCCCACTGAGGGGGAGTGAGCGAGCGGCTGTGTGGGGCTTAGTTGCCAGCTGAGGTTAAACCACAACAGATGTTCACTTTAGTACTAGTACCTGGATTAGAACTAGCAGATGGCAGAGTTGACACCCAGTGTTTGGGTTTGGAGACCTAACCAAAATGCCCTGAAAAAAACACTTGGGACTGCCCTAATTTCAGCAAGTGGGAATGCTGCCAGAGCAACATACTCAGCTGACAAGTTTCAGCAGTTTCTGAGCACCATGTCTAAACCAGGATCTGCACTAAAAAAAAAATCTTCCTGAGATTGAGAAAGTAATAAAAGTACCTCCAAGGAAAAATAAGAATAAACTAATTCATGGATAATTTAATTTTAATAACTAACAATTCTCAGAAACCAAGACTGGAGAGAAGCAGCAATAACCAATCATTTCAGTAGCAATCCTCAAAGGAAGGTCAAAACACTAGGAAAGACTCCTTGAGACTGAGAGTTTTCTTCAGGAACACATCTTTAACGTATTACCATTAACCGTTAGAACAATTGTTTGCTTAGTTTTCACTCCTACTTTTACTTTTTGGTAATTTAAGCAGTTTACTGTATTAGTGGCTAAGGATCAAGCAAGAATGGATCCTCCCGTCCTAAATTTTCTATGAACACAGAATAGTCCATATGTCCTGCCGTGAAGAGTCTCCATGGCCCAACACTAGGGACCAACACCGAGTCACACATAGCTTTTAGTATTCACCATTGCCAAGAACAAGGGAAGGAAGACAAATGCTGATTCTCTTTTTCTCAACTAGAAGGGAACATCTAATAAAGCCATTCAAACAGAAGGGGATCATTTTACAGGGTGCCAGGTCTCTGGAGAGATTACTGTGCACATTCCTTACTGTTTCAAGTGATAGCAAAGCCTACCTTTGTTACAAAACTTACAACCTTCAGCTGATAGAACATGGAAGGATAAAATGCACTGCCACCAGCATTCAGACCAACTTCACTTGAGCTATGAAACATCCATGGCTGTTTTCACTGGTGTTCCAGGAATGAATAGTTTGCCTTTTTTTTCTTTTCCATTCATGGCTAGCTGATTTAACACTGCTCTTTCAAAAGCCATTATAATTATAGAATCCAAGTTGTTAAAAGAAATCTTAATTAAAAAAAAAAATTGTCCTCATCACATAAAAGGAAACACCAAAATATTTTGTCTTCCTTATTAATCCCATTAAAAACCTTCTATTCTTTATCCTGCAAAAACGCATCCCCGTATCTTTCCAGCTAAGCAATTTGACAGCATAAAGGCAACTTTAGAGGCCAACTTAGAAATGAAATATATATACACACACATATATAGTGTGTGTATAAACACTAGTTTTCAAGCCAACACTTAGAAGAGACTGAGAGACAAACATTAACAAAAAGCCTAGTCATCTGCTAATTAAGAAGCTTTATACTTGAACATATTTCAGGTATGTTTTAGAAGTATACTAATATTTCAGTTATTTGACCTTCCTTGACATCACACACATTCGTTCCTCAGCGTATGTCTCAGAATCATTATTTAAGACTAAAGCAGATAGATGCATGAAAGATACTTAAAAATAGCTGTCAGAGGTTACAGGCAGGATTTCAACTCATTATGTTAAAACGCCATCAGTTCTCAGTTTCATGAATTTTTATTCTGTGGTGTGGCTTCAAGGCCCACCATTTTGATTCTTTGGAATAAAGAACACAGGATTTAAAACCCAAAGGCATAGGTTCAGGTTTACAGGGCAGAACCCAGGACAGACTTTTAAAACAAGGAGCAGCAAGAAACTTTATTATTTTGGTGGGGTTTTCATTATAATCTAAAGCAATAAATTAGTAATTATCATTAATTACCGTGTCTCTTCAAGGATGAAGAGGACTCAAAGAAAAAGTACAGAAAAATCAAAGCAAAAAGTACAAGTTTTATATATCTATCAGGAAGTTTTTAGACAGATTTGCATTTGAAGTGTTGAAGAAAGGAGGAGACATTCATTTATCAGGGTGTATGGGGTTTTTTTCCTAAATCTGTCATCTCAGCAAGTTACTAAGACCACATCTTCTCTAGGAAGTGTTTCATGTATATTTGTAAGCTGTTTCATAAGCACGTCCACATAATGGGACTAATAATATTCCATAATTTTAAAAAATGCAGTAACAAGAAGGATTTGTTTGTTCCAAGTATTGTAGGTTTTAAAAATCAACATCTATATTTTTGTCCTTGGACACATCCATAACATTTACATTTATATTCTTGTCAATGATTTATAGTAAGATATATTCCATACCTGGGATATCTGAATTTCAGTGTGGACGGACTTTCATTAATACTGACATTGGTGCATCCTATTTTATTAAGTCCCAGCAAGAATGAATACAGCTCCACACCACTGAGAAACATGTACAGAAGTATGAGAGACAGGAGCCTAACAGGCTAAAAGCTATCCTGAAACCCTGTCATCCTACCTGCCATAGATGAATTTTTTTTTTACTGATTTATGAAGTATTTCATAATGAATTCCAGTCTTTTGAACTTGTCACTATTTTAATACTACATCTTGCGTCAAAAATCTCAACCCAATACTGCCAGTACCTACAACATAACCTTCTCCCCATCCCACTCAGACATTCCTAAATGTGAGGAGGGAGCAAACATAACTTATCAATCCCATCTAGGACATTTATTCAGTCCACCACCTATATGCACAGCAAATCTGTCAGCTAGAAGGTTTACATTTAGCCACGGAGATCTTTCAGTGTTTCATTCCTGAGAAAAGGCTGACAATTGTAGCTTACTCT